TTCTTTCTTTCTTTCTCTCTCTCTCTCTCTCTCCCTCTATCCTTCCTTCCTTCCTCCCTCTCTCTCTCCCTCCCTCCCTCTCTCCTTTCTTTCTTTCTCTCTGTCTCTTCCTCTCTTCTTCCTCCCTCCCTCCTTCTTTCTTTCTTTCTCCCTTTCTCCTCCCTCTCTCCTTCCTTCCTCCCTCTCTCTCTCCCTCCCTCCCTCCCTCCTTTCTTTCTCTCTCTCTCTTCCTCTCTTCTTCCTCCCTCCCTCCTTCCTTCTTTCTTTCTCCCTTTCTCCTCCCTCTCTTCTCCCTCCTTCCTTCCTTCCTTCCTTCCTTCCTTCCTTCCTTCCTTCCTTCCTTCCTTCCTTCCTTCCTTCCTTTCTTTCTTTCTTTCTTTCTTTCTTTCTTTCTTTCTTTCTTTCTTTCTTTCTCTAACCATTTCATGCGTTAAATAAACCAACCCAGAGTGGAGAACGAGTATTACACCTTATTCAGCAAACCATAGTTAAATGGTTGCTTGGGATGATGTGTAACATCAGCTTCTTCTTTTTTTCTTGTTGTATCTTATGCAGCTGAAGTAAACAACAACAACAAAAACTGTCCTTTTTCAGTGCAATCACGGATTTTCTGTTCTTTCCCTACAGGCTTATCCTAGCAGCTAACAGAGATGAATATTACCACAGGCCCTCGAAATGCGCCGATTTTTGGGACAGTAGCAGTGAGATTCTCAGTGGTACGTAGAGGGCTCTTTGGGCACGTGCTACCTACCTCTATCTCTCTTTATCTCTAGCTCTCTCTATCTCTACCTACCTCTCTCTATCTCTCTTTATCTCTACCTACCTCTCTCTATCTCTCTTTATCTCTACCTATCTACCTCTCTCTATCTCTCTTTATCTCTACCTATCTACCTCTCTCTCTCTCTCTCTCTCTCTTTACCTCTATCTCTCTTTATCTCTACCTACCTCTCTCTCTCTCTTTATCTCTACCTATCTACCTCTCTCTCTGTTTATCTCTACCTATCTACCTCTCTCTATCTCTCTTTATCTCTACCTATCTACCTCTCTCTCTCCCTATCTATCTATCTATCTATCTATCTATACCTCTCTCTCTCTCTCTCTTTCCTGCCTAGCTATCCAAAAGTACATGTTTCAGTATACACATAAATAAAAATGAGATTTGAACACTCAAACCATGGGGATTATTTTTTTTAAAAAAAAACAACCCTCTGTGAAGATTCTTCTCTTCTGCTTAACTTTGCTGTCATTGGCAGGCATACTGCAGAGGATAAATTATTCTCTCACTCTTTCTGTCTGCCCCAAAGTTCTTTTTTTTTTTTTAACTCTCTGAAAGTCTGGTTTTCATTCTGAATTCTTGACAAATATGCTGTACACATCTCTTGCTCTCCCTTTTTTTATACAAAGGGATGCTTAGCGGGGGGGGAGGGGGGGCACTTGCTGAAATCTGAATTTTAAAAGCTTTCTGGTCCTTTTTGATGTATTTATCCTCTCCCTGAGCTCGCGTGTGTGTGTGTGTGTGTGTGTGTGTGTGTGTGTGTGTGTGTGTGTGTGTCCGCCCTTGGTTTTATAAGACGGAGGCCTTGAGCTGTCAATCTTCTCAAGAAGGTTGGTAGTTTATCTTCTGCTTCTTGTGTAGCACGGCTAAATCCTTTCTTTTCTTTTTTTTTAAAAGTTTTATTAGATTTTATAGGATTAGGGATAGAATGGGATCAGGGTTGGGGTTAGGGTTTAGGTTGGGGTTGGGATCAGGGCTAGGGGTTGGACGGGGTTGGGAACAGGATTGAGGTTATCCCCCAATGACATTTTCCATATTTAGCAAACAGGATATTGTCTGGGTACATATATTTAGATAACAGGAATTGATATAATAATAGATAGCAATAGCTCCCGTGAAACTGGACCCCGTTCTTCACTTTTCCAGAAAGCGAGTTGTGAAAACTGTCTTACTTTGCCTTCACGCAGCCTTTTCTTTCTTTCTTTCTTTCTTTCTTTCTTTCTTTCTTTCTTTCTTTCTTTCTTTCTTTCTTTCTTTCTTTCTTTCTTTCTTTTAACTCAGTGTTTCTCAACCTTGACAATTTTAAGGCATGTGGACTTCAACTCCCAGAATTCCACAGCCAGCATTGCTGGCTGTGGAATTCTGGGAGTTGAAGTCCACATGCCTTAAAATTGTCAAGGTTGAGAAACACTTTTTTAACTAGTCTGATCGCCAGGGATGACCAACAAGCACACATAGGCAAGCGAACAAGCTGGTGGAGGGCAGAAAACAAGCTAACCCCTCTCTCTTGCTTTGTTTCTCTAGGCAGCCCCTTCCCCCACGGCTAGTGTGGACCCAGAGGTGGGTGGAAGAGGGGGCCCGGTGGTCTATTCCCCTTTCAGCTTGGATGATCCAGGCTCTGCCCTTGGCCATAATGCCACTTGGTCACCAACCCCAGAGGATTAATGGTGCCCAGGTGACGATTCGTTGGTTTTTTGTTTTTGTTTGTTTTATGGCAGGCTTGGATATGGAAGAAGGGAAAGAAGGCGGGTCCTGGCTTGGCATCAGCAGGAAAGGCAAGATGGCCGCCTTGACCAATTACATGCAGCCTCAGATAAACAAGCAGGCGAAAGGAAGAGGCAAGTATGTAGTAGCAAAGGAGAAGCGATGGGCTATCACCTGCCTCGCTGTAAGAATGGTTATTTTTCCATCATTGTAATACGGGCTGTGTTATATCATTAGAACTGTAATTGCAGACTAGAATTAAAAAAGGGAGCCCTGGTGGTTAGAATGCAGTATTGCAGGCCAACTCCGCTGCCAGCAGTTGGGCAGTTCGATTCTGACCGGCTCAAGGTTGACTCGGCCTTCCATCCTTCCGAGGTCGGTAAAATGAGGACCCAGATTGTTGGGGGCAACAGGCAGACTCTGTAAAGCGCTTAGAGAGGGTCAGAAAACACTATGGGGCAGTATGTAAGCCTACGTGCTATTGCCCTTCCATCCATCCATCCATCCATCCATCCATGATGCGCAGTGGTTAGAATGCAGTATTGCAGTCCAACTCTGCCCACAGCCTGAAGTTCGATCCTGACCGGCTCAAGGTTGACTCAGCGTTCCATCCTTCCGAGGTTGGTAAAATGAGGACCCAGATTGTTGCGGGTGAAAGGTTGACTCTGTAAACCGCTTAGAGAGGGCCGGAAAGCACAACGAACTGCCAAATGGCAGGCAGCCGGCAGTAGCCTGCATTCTAACCACTGCGCCACCGGGGCTCATAAGATCATTCTCCTTCCCCGTGAACAGAATTTTGCAAGTTTGAAAATGCAAATCTCCCACTGTTTCTTTCTATTGCTTGATCAGGGTCCTTCGTAAGCTTTTCTCTGGCCGTTAAACAGTTGTGGGCTGCTCCAACTTTTATCTGATGGTTCTGTAGGCAGCATATCTTCCCTTGTCGTCCTTCAAGATCGTGTCTACACATACAGAATAGAACAGAGCTGGAAGGGACCTTGGAGGTCTTCTAGTCCAGCCCCCTTCTCAAGCAGGAGAACCTACACCATTACACTCTGGCAGCATATTCAATTCTGATATACTACGAAGCTTACCTGATGTGACGAGATGTCTGGTCTCCTTCTGGGAAGTGATGCTCCCTAGTTACAAATCCCTCGTTACGTTCCTCTCTTTGCAGGTGCCCTGGTGACCAATTTCTTGACATCAGAAATGGACAGCTACTCTTATTTGAAGAAAGTGGCCTCGGAAGGACACCTTTACAACGGCTTTAATTTGATCGCAGCAGACTTAAGGTAAGTCTGTAGCAAACCGTCCAGCAACATCGAGCTGGCCACGCCCACCCTGGCCACGCCCATCCACCCTGGCCACACCCACCCAGTTTGCCATGAACACCCAGTGGGCCACACCCATCTGGTACTCGGCGATACATAAGTGGGCTTTGGGTTGTAGTTTGGGCACTCGGTCTCTAAAAGGTTCGCCACCACTAGTATAGGGTTTCCTGCCTGAGCAGTGGGTTGGACTAGATGACCTCCAAGGTCCCTTCCAACTATTATTATTATTATTCTTTATATAACAAGTTTTATTAATTTTCCATTTTTACAAACCTTCAGGTATTTAAGGAAGCAACATGGTGGTTGGGTAATACATAATCCAATAACACGCTTATCCATACATATATCAATTTACATCATCAAAAATTTCCTCTGTTTCCCTTAATCATTATAACAAATTCAAATTGGTAGGTTGTTAGTTATAACTCAATCATTTAAAACATTTATAAACAGCTTTTAAATTATATATCTCCAAATCCTGTTTTTAACTTTTGTCTGGTTTCAATTAGAGTATTTGAATTGGCTGCTTCTTCTTCTTCTTCTTCTTCTTCTTCTTCTTCTTCTTCTTCTTCTTCTTCTTCTTCTTCTTCTTCTTCTTCTTCTTCTTCTTCTTCTTATTATTATTATTATTATTATTATTATTATTATTATTATTATTATTATTATTATTATTATTATTATTATTATTATTATTATTATTATTATTATTATTATTATT